TTTTCTGATGAAGGGTCTAGGCCCGAAACGTCAGCCTTCCTGCTCCTATGATGCTGCTTGGCCTGCTGTGTTCATCCAGCTCTACACCTTGTTATCTCTAATGTAAAAAAGATAATCGGTTTAGAGAAGAAGCCAGACAGACAGTGATAAAAAATTTGCTTGCAATGTTTAGTGCAAAGCTAAACATAGTATTCATGAGATGATGACATTCATTAAGATGAAGATTGGTCTGAACAATCATTTTCAACAGAACCCGAGTATGTCTTCTAATGTAGAATAAAATATTTTCAAGATGTGGCAAGTTTCTTATGAAAGTTACTGTAATGACAAAGTCAGTAAGGAGGTGCAAAGATGGAGAATACCACAATGAGTGCAGCGTGACATTAGAAGGTAGAAGCAAAGGCTAAAATATCTTGGAGTCATACTCAGAAATAAGCTTTAGTTAATTATTTAATCTTACCTGTTGTCAGTAGACTGTCCGGCTGTTGCTATTAAAGTAGAGGAACTAACAAAAACAAAATCATTTGCAGTTTTGTTATGGCACTGCCAGGTCTGAAAAATAAAAATTTATGAATCCATAAATATGCAGCATGTTAATAAGTTCCACCTTTTATTAACATATTGAATTTAAACAGAAAATGCAGTTAATTATCAGCTCACCAGGTAAGGTTTTGGTGTAGCTCCTAAAGCAATTGGGCTTGTTTGCCAGAAGCTCAGGAATCCATCGCCATCAACAATTCCAAACTGATAAAAAGACATGGTTACATATTTTATTAATCTAAAGGGACTACATTCATTTCCATTATTATGCAAGCCATTAATCGTAATTTTTGCATTCCAATGCTCAACAGAAATGATACCAAAACATGTAAGATTTTTGCAAATAGTATATTAAAACATCAAGCACGTCAACTAAATATCATGCTTGCCACACTACTTTAGAAGCCGTCAAGCATCAACTATATAGTATAAAACTGGATTCACATTCTACTCAGATGAATACACGTGTCAGGTTCCCTCTACTGTCAGGTAAATAAGACCACTACATAAATGTAGGTGAATGTCGAAAGGTACGTTAAGGTATTACATTGCAGCAAAAGGGGAAACCTGAAGTCCAAACAAAGGAGGCACATCTTTGGAAGGATGATTATAAAGCTGGCTGCAAGTGAGTTTTAAAAACAAGGTGGGAGAGTATGCAAGATCAGGGACAGTGTCTTGAAGTTAAGACCCATGCCACTGAAAGCATGTCTTTCAAAAGGAGGGAAGGATCTATGACAGGAAAGAGATGGTGAGTGCTAAAGATAGTGGATTGTAGGATCAGAGGAGGTCACAGAAGATTGAGGCCATTGACAGCTTTGAATATATGGCTGAAAATTTATTGCATTGCAAAAATCAGGGATCTGCACAGATCCCAAAAATAGGAGTGGGAAGTGAATGAGAATAAATACAAGGTAGGTTAACAGCAGCAGTATTAGATCAACTGACATTTACAAAGGTCGAGGATGGAGAATTGGGCACAAGAGTCGTGGAATAATGTAGTCTGGTTAGGTGACAGGAGCATAAAATGGGATTTCATTCGAAGATAGGACGCAATGGAATCAGTGGTGGATGATTATTTGGAGATGGAAGTAGCCACTGTGTTGATCCCACAGTAGCAGATAATGCTGCCAAAGGCAACATGCAGATAAAGAAGAATTTAAGGATAAATCCTTGGGAGATTCTTGTTAGCAGAGCAAGTGTGATTAGAGAAGTCCTTGCTTGGGATGTGCTGGCTTTCATCAAATAGGTAAAGAGTGTGGATTGAACTTAAGGTCTGGTTTGGTGACAGGATCAAGGGGACAGTGGGGAAAAAAGCATGAGCATGAGATTTATGGGAAAGCAACAGAGAGATATAATGTATTAACAAACCAGTTGGGTTTACAACACTCCAATGCCTTTCATCGTTACTTTTCTCTGCACTTTAAAATTTAGATTAATTCACAGTTCATGATGCTTTGTTTGACAAGTATAAAAATTACATTCCAACATTCATTGTGTTATTCAGCGAACTAGAACATCATTTGCAACAGTACAATAGAGGCTCCAAATTCTCCACAGAGCATTTTACACCTATTCCAGGAATGCATGACATAGCTATATGCCAAGTACAAATTGTTTGATTCCCCAGCATGTGTATGCTTTCTTTTTCAGATGTCATACCTTATTACCCTGATGATTAAATCGTATTCTCGTTATCCTGGAGTTGCCAGAAGGTCGAAAGCATGCTAGTTGATGTGAGTGACCCCACTCAAACATTCGAACACTACCATCTTGAGCACCAGTTAGATCTAAATCATTGCAGAAATAATTCTTAATTATTTAACGTACACCAATACTTATCTTAAAATCTAGCATCACCCGGAAGTGCTCAGCCATGAATGGGCAGCTCCTTCTGCTCAGTGCTGAATGCCTGTGCAGCCCCATGGATCGGGGATCAGTTTGTCTATAGGACCTTATAATAGTTCAAACCAATACCCAGATAGAATTTTGTTTTAAATGAGCACGCTTCTTTATTACAAAAACGAATTCCTGGGAAAACTCAGCAGGTCTGGCAGCATCCATGGGGAGAAAATGGACTTAATGTTGAGTCCAACGATCTTTTGTCAGAAATGAAGTGTTAACTGGTTAAAGAGGAAAATGGGCCAAATGTTGGCAAATGGGACTAGGTCAGATTGGGATGTCTGGTTGGTGTGGACGAGTTGGACTGAAAAGGTCTGTTTCCTTGCCGTATGACTTTATGATTCTCTACAGGTGCTGTCAGATCTGTTGAGTTTCTCCAGCACTTGGGAGTTGGTTTCAGATTTCCAGCATCTGCAATTCGTGATCTTTCATTACACTTTTAGATCAGACCAATTGACATGCCTGAGAAACAAGTTTTTCTGTACAGCTGAGAACATTGAGAAATTTATTTTGTTCAGATTAAATTGGAAATCCTTTTAAAATTTGCAAGAACAGTTTGATTTTAGGAGCACACTGGAAAGGAGATGATCCAGAACGGTTAAAAGAAACTATGAAGCTAAACCACACTAGATATTAATTACCAAAATCACATTTCACTTATTTTTTTCATATGTTTGGTCCTGGTTTCCAGATATCAGGTGGGTAAAAATCATTTAAAGAAAATGGGTTTTCACAAGACTGGTTAAACTGAGAACATTCCAGAGACCATTTAGCTTTTTTGATGCAGAATATTTTCTACTCTTAATAATCACTTTAGTAATTTTTACGTGCTTGACAGTTATCTGCATCAACATCTAGGAACGACGCTAGGAAAAGTCAGATTTCTAGTTCATTTATTCAAAAGTTACCTTGTCTTTTGTCATTTGCAGCAGAATAGATTTCCTTCAGCTAGCAACTACACATATTAGTAAAAACTGTCACACTGTCAAAAATTGCTGCATTAAAAAAATTCACCACTTTTTTTGGTCAATTATCTTAAACCCATTTCCTCTGGATTGTGACCGTTCTGCCAACCGAACAGTTGCCCTTAATTTCTCTATCAATATCATTCATAGATTTCACTGCCTCTATTCAACATCACTTAACCTTCCTCTGTTAAAGGGAAAATAAACCAGCTTTTTATCCTCTTTGTAACCGAGAACGAACCCTAGTACCAAACTCATCAATTTGCTCTGCAACTTTCAAACTAACTTTCAAAATCACAGTCCCAAAATGATTCTTTTTGGGCACAATGAGGAGGATTGTGCATTAGACCCTTCAAACCTACTCCACTATTCACTAAGATCACAACTAATCTGAAGTAATTACTCTACATTCCCACATAGCCCACTAGCTTTTAAATCTCTTGCTTATGAAGAACTTGTCAATCTCTGCCTTAAAAAATATTTAAAAACTCTGCCTCCATCACATCTTGAGGAAGAAAGTTCTAAAGTTGGAGAAAAAAATGCTTCCTTATCTCTATCTCAAATGGGCAATCCTTTCTTTTAAAAAAAAAAGTGATCCTTAGTTTTAGATTCTCCACAAGTGGAAGCATCCTTTCTGCATGCAACTTAAGACTCCTTAGGATCTTAAACAAAAACAGAAACTGTTGGACAAACTCAGTGGGTCTAGCAGCATCTGTGGAGAAAAAGCAAAGTTAATGTTTCAGATCCAGTGACCCTTCTTGTTGTTCTTTTCATTATATAGATTCCAGACTGGTCAGTGCATCTTTACAAGAGTTACATGACATCACAATGAGACACACTGATGTTCCTGCCTCATCTTCAGTCAGGCTCTCAGTGTTGGAGTGTTGTATGTTCAGTCATGTAATATAATGTGCAATAACATCAATATGCACAGAACTGAGATAATGTTAAGTCTGTGATACTGTAGCAATGTAAATAGTTAGTGTTGCTCACAAAGTTGAAAATCTGTCTCAACAAGAACCGAGTTGTAGTCACATGTCATGAGAGCTGTAGGGGGCAGGTCTCAGACAGTATCATACTGTTAGTGATGTTTGACCCAAGAAACCACATCATAATGTTAGTAAGTGGGCATGCGAAGATAATGGTGACAACTGGTTAGAGGTGACGAGTTGGTACGAAAAAGGTGATAGCAGCAGTGAAGAGTTCCTTTTCCTGAACAGACATTCCTTTTCATCTACCCGAGTTCAGTGCTGAAATTACAACGACAACCAAGACTAAAGTGCTGCAATCTGTACTGAAGCAAAGTAACATTAGTGGAGGAGAAACATTAGCAAGCACGCTTTCTCTTGCACAAACACCAACTACAGATGCAAGCCTGCTACTTTTAAACCAATAAGAAGAAAAAAGCCAACAAAAAAAAAAAAACCAGAAAGTGCATTACACTGCACAGAATTTTATACTGGCACTTTAAAGAACACAAAGATAGAAAGCAAGTGTCTGACCATGGATTGGCACATCATTGATATTCATAGAATCCCTACAGTGTGGAAACAAGCCCTTTGGCCCAACAAGTCCACAACGACCCTTGGAGCATCTCACCCAGACCCATCCCCTTATAACCCACCTAAGCTACACATCCCTGAACACTACGGGCAATTTAGCATCGCCAATCCACCTAGCCTGCACATCTTTGGACTGTGGGAGGAAACCCATGCAGACACGGGGAGAACGTGCAAACTCCACACAGACGGTCGCCCGAGGGTAGAACTGAACCCGGGTCCCTCACGCTGTGAGGAAACAGTGCTAACCACTGAGCCATATTCTATCAGAATTTCAGATATAGAAAGAAACTTCTATAGAAAGAAATTTCTATATGGAAATTATCAGTCACTGATTTGGGAAACAATGAAAGACAGGCAAATTCCTCCTGCTTTGGAAAATCAAGGATTAAGAACTTAAATCCTCTAGAATTTCTATTCATGACCACAAAGATTCTGACAAAATTTTCTACGTCTTAGAAGACCAAGTAACAGTCAAGTGCAGGTTACATAGGCTGAAGTTCATGTCATTGTTTCACTAGTCTGTTGTCACTACCAATAAATTCTTAGACAGGTGTCAACGCAAAAGACATGGAATGTAACTGCAAAGCTAATAAGGCAGTCAATTGCAACACCAAAAAATCCAGACCACAAGTGTGTCTACCTATCACCTGACTAACATTTATGCCAAGAATGAATACTAGTCCATACATTTTTCTTTGGAGTCACAGGAACTTGTAACTTTTAGAAAACTTTCATTTGATATTGTTTCTTCAAGTTATTATTTGACAAATGGGACATATTCTAACATGTGAATCATTCATTGGGAATCTCTGTACTGTAGTGACATTGCAGTCTTCAGAAAAATTAACATGAAATTAACAGTGGCAAGGTAAAATGGTTATTTCCATATTCCAAACTATTAGTTAATAAACTTTGTTTGAGAAAGCTTGCTTTCATAAAACAGCTATTTGTTGTTGACCTGATGAGTAATTTGTTGAAACCTGACTTGTTTTTAATAATGGTCTCTTTCAGCCGGAGACCTACTTAAGTGGTTTTTTCACCAACTTGGTTAAATTTACAATTTATTGTGACCAACGGAGTCGGACTAGAAAAAGAAGCAGTGCACTTCTCTAACCTCAGGTCATAACAAACAGTTTAAAACATTCTTCATGTATACTTACAATAAGGCAGTGTTGGATGTGAAGCCATTCTTCTGGCATTGTTCATATTCCTCTTGATCATCTGCCAAGGTGAACAGTTTATATTGTTAAATGGAAAACAAATGCAATAACATTTCTAAACCTTTTGATGCATAGCAAATACAAGCACGTTAAAGATACTGAATTTTGACATCCAAATCAAAATGTCTGCAAAACATGAAAACAATTTTTTGACCTGTATCAACAGTCACTACATTAGATTCTGTTTCTCTATTTTTCAGTTTAACTTTAAGCAAAGTTCTCTGTACTATAGGTAGGTCCCCTGTTGCACTTCAACAAATGTTTTACCATTTTAAGAATAAGTTACACAACATGAGATTATTATTTCTGGTACGTAGAACATTAGTCAGGGTGCCATGAATGTTGTTGAGCCAATACACAGATAAAGTTGTAGTCAGTTACACATTTGATGCAACACAACATTTTGCTTCTCAGCATTCTATCTGCATAAATTCTTTTCATACTGTACAGGTCATTTTAAACTAACATTGGCTGGTTTATAGAGTTTTGAAACAAAACAACTCAAAATAAATAAATCACATTTAATCAAGAGTGAGAAAACAGTATTTTACTGTTGCTATTCATACAAGGAAGATTCGCAGCAGGCCATTTCACCCCTCCAAACTGATTCTGCTTTTTCCCCGATATCCCTTGATCTCCTTAGTTTCAAGTGCTATGTCCAACTCCTCCCTGAGATCACAATATTTTGGCTTTGAATGCTTTCTGTGGAAGCAAAAGCCACAGGCTCACCACTCTCTGGGTGAAAAATCCTCTCATCTCATTCCTAAATGGTTTAACCCATTTGCTTAGACTGTATTCCCTGGTTTGGACTTCCTTGTCATTGGGAACATCCTTCCTGCTGTCTACCTTGTCTACTCCTGTTACAGTATTCGAAGTTTCTATGAGATCCCCTCTCATTCTTCTGAATTCCAGTGGCTATGATCCTAACGAACTCAACCTCTCCTTATATGTAGTTTTGACATCCCAGGAATCAGTCTGGTAAACCTTTGCTCTATGGTACTCCTCTATGGCAAGAGCATCCTTCCCCTGATAACAGACCAAACCTGAACACATTTCAGGTGTGGTATCACCAAGGTCCTCGTAGCTAGACATCCTTGCTCCTATACTTAAATCATCTCATTATGAAGGTCAACATATCAGTTGCCTTTTTGACTGCCTACTGCACCTGCATGCTCACTTCCAGTGACTATTGTACCAGGACACCCAGGGCTCACTGCACATTTCACACTCTCAACTTCTATCCATTTAGATAATAATCCATCTTCCTGTTTTTTGCTCCTGAAGTGGATATCCTCGCATTTTTTCACATTATAATGCATCTGCCATGCATTTGCCCACTCACAAAGCTTGTTCAAATTAAACTGAAACAACTCTGCATCTATCGTCACAGTACAATGTTCAACTCAATGACTTGATCAACTCTTGTCCACTCTTCTAACTGCAGAATGTCTACAAAAGGACTTAACTAGAACAGTTTTTCACAGCAGGGAATTAAACTTCAATGATTTTTGAACATTCATTCTCAGGATGTGGGCTGTTGCTGCTGGTACAACTGGTAAACACAGTTTCTTGCCAGGAATTGGCAGCAGGTTTGCTTGAATTTCTTGCAGTGGCCATGGCAGTTTAACACTTTTTAAACTACACACATTGTCAAGTACTCTGTCTGGGGTCTTGAATCTCAAAAGAGATAAGCCTACTTTCTGAGAAGATAGCTGAAAAGTCTGTTTCAGGATGCAAAGACATCTGGAAGGGCAGATTGCTGCAGGATTAAAGCAGCATGGCAGCTACCCAGAATTCTTATGTACAGTTGTATAAACATCTTTGGGGATACAGACAGCTCCACAATGCTATGGAAGCACTGTTTAGTTGATAAATATACTTCAGTGATCTGGGAATGCTTTAACTGACACACATGTAAAGTCAGTAACATCCTGACCATGTGGGAAGCCAGCAAGATCCACCTACCTTAGAGCCCTCTCATTTTACATGTGTCACTACAGGCACAAAGTTGACATACTGACTGCTGCGGTAAACAAAGCATTCATCTGTCATATGCATTTGAAAGTGCCTGCTGACATCAATCATCTGATGATAAATTCTGACTGTGCATGCACATTTAATTATTTAAAAATCTGCACGTACGTACGAACGAAATCTAAAGCCAATTTTTAAAATTTAAAAATTTACTTGGTTTGACAAAAGCTTCATAAACTCTGAAAATAAAAATAAGAGAAAAAATATCACTAGTTCAATTTAGTTCTGAGATTTCACAGCTACTACACATACTCCTGAGCATGAGAAAACACTTAAATTGGGGCTACAACTCACTCAGAGATAGTAAGAGCTGCCAATGCTGGAGTCAGAGATAATACAGTGTGGAGCTGGAGGAACACAGCAGGTCGGGCAGCAGAGGAGCAGGAAAGTTGACATTTTGGGTCAGAACCCTTCTTCAGAAATGGGGGAGGTGGGGAAGGGAGCTCAGAAGTAAATAAAGAGAGGAGGGGTGGGGCTGGGGAAGGTAGGTGGGATGGTGATAGGTCAGTGCAGGTAGGCAGTGGTGGGGATTGGTCAATGAAGTGGGAGGAGCGGATAGGTGGGAGAGAAGATGGACAGGTTGTGTCAGGTCAAGGAGGCGGGGATAAGAGGGAGGGTTGGTCATGGGACGAGGCCAGGGGTGGGGAGATTTTGAAACTGGTAAAGTCCACATTGAGACATTAAATTGGGACTGGAGGGATCCAATGAAATTAAGTAATGTTAACGCAGGGAAGCTTCATGACAAGTCACATAGGACATTGCTAAAACCACATTTGGAGTACTGTGTACAGTTCTGGGCTCCTTACTTAAGGAAGCATTTGAAGCAAGTCAAAGAACGTTCACTCATCTGATTTGGGGATGAAGGGATAGGGTTCTAATAAAAAAGGTTAGATAGGTTGGGCCCAGATCCACTGGAGTTTAGAATAATTAGTAATTTTTTTTGCAACATAAGTCACAAACATGAGGTGTGTCCTCAGGTGGTCCAACAATTTAAATGATTTAGTTGATTATAAGCCTTCTTTTAACTTTCTGGTGTTTCAGCTTTTTAAAAAATTGAGCAGTGCATATTTAAGGTCAGTTTATTGCAAAAACTACTTAGTTATTCAAGTAAAAGTGTTAAGGTTATGGCTAAAATACATACAAGATTTAGAAGTGGGTAACAATAAAAGATACTTATAAAGATGAAAGAAAGTTCAGTGTCTAAAACTGCTTCAGGCCTGGCTTACTGGAAGATGTCTGCTTCCAAAGTGAAGGGGTTGAAGTTAGATTCAGCAGCTACAACTGCTTCCATTATTGAATAGTTCGTATTTGCTTGTACATAGATTCAGTAGACTGAGACAGACAGGAAGGGTTCCACACTAGTTGTACGGTTAAGCCTCTTGCAGATTGTCTGGACGCTTTCAACAGAACGACGGTCTATTTCCTTCACTCCATTTGGCTAAGAACCCTTTCTCTGATGTTGTTGCTCAATGTTCTTCCTTGAGGGTTCTGCACAAAATGGTTGCTCACAACCTATTTGATATTGATCAATACTTAAAATCATTGCGACCCCAAATCTACCTCATCATGCTTTCATATCAGGTACAAACCCATCCACTGTCTTTAAGTTGGGCAATTAATCTTCAATTGTCTCAGCCATTAGGTTAGATGGCATTTATTTCCAGGTTGTGGTGAGCTAGGAAGAGCTAACTGCATCTTGATGATGGCTCCCTGGAGGAGTTTCAGTTTTTCCCTTGCTTTCACAATTACACAAAAGTCTCTAACGACTTCTTCTCAAAATAAGCAGAGGGTAGTCCTAATACCAGACTGTATGCACAAGAACAGTCCTTTTTTTTGGAGTAACCACAACTCGGGGATTTGTTTAAGGATTAGAGTCCTCCCATTTAAGACAGAGAGGAAGAGATTGTTTTTCTTTGAGGTTTAAAAGTCTGTGGAATTCTCTTCCCCAGACACTGCTAGAGACAGGGTCATTGAATAATTTTAAAGGTCAGTTATAGAGTCGGAGTTATACAGTATGGAAACAGATCCTTCAGTCCAACTCGTCCATGCCGACCAGATATCCTAAATTAATCTAGTCCCATTTTCCAGCAGTTAGCTTACATTCTTCTAAAACTATTCACGTACCCATCCAGATGCTTTTTAAATGCTGTAATTGTACCGGCCTCCTCCACTTCCTTTAGCAGCTCATTCCATACATGCACCACTCCATGCAAGAAAATGTTGTTAGATAAGATTCTTGATAAACAAGGGAGTTAAGTTATAGGAGGTACACTGGAAAGTGTAATGGAGGGCACAATTATATTAGCCATGCATCCTAATTTCTTTATTGGTATCTTTCCATAATCATGTTTCTGTATGCAAGGCCTGGCTCCAACCTGGAGATTTTTCTCACTCGATACTCACTGACTGCAATTTTGCTCCGGTTTCTTGATACCACATTTAAACCATAAGATGCAGGAGCAGAATTTAGCCATTCAGCCTTCTGAGTATGCACTGCCATTCGATCATGGCTGATACTTTTCTCAACCCTATTCTCTTGCCTTTTCTCTGTAACCCTTGATCCCTTTACTAATCAAGAACCGTCTGTCTGTCTTAAGTACTCTCAGTGAATTGGCCCCCATGGCCTTGTGTGGCAATGAGTTCCACAGATTAATCACCCTCTGGTTGAAGAAATTCTTCATCTCTTGGTCAAATTCTGCCTTGATGTCAAGGGTTGTCATAATACCCTTGGCTAAATCCGTATTTGTTGAAGATGAATGGTTGACTCAGTAAATGGAAAGGTTAACTGAATAAAGGCAAAATCTTCATACTCACCACAGATGCCCCTCTGCCAGTCTGCATGCTGCCCAGCCATGGCATATTTATTGGAGTGCCAGGAACACTGGGAGTATAGGGTGTGCTGCACTGCAAATCACCAAAATCATCTCTTGCATGAACAACCAGAAACTCATCAGATCTATGAGGAAATAGAAAAAGAATCAATTAAACCAGAGAGAAACTGTTTAATAATGAGAAACTCACATTCAATCAACAGACTGTTAACGATTCTTGTAAAATATGCAACAGTAATGCATAAGGCACAATCAAATGCTTTTGCTAATTATTTTCAATCATGCCACCAACCTGCCAGATGAACCAATTAGTTCATTTTACCAATGCCTTGCTTATTAACAAGATAAAATAACTACTCCAGTTCAAACACACTCCATTATCTTGGCTCAACTCTTCATTTTAAAAGAGGCAACATGTGATACCATAAACACCAAGTTATTTTCTGTGAAGATTGAGATTTCATCCCAAACTGACATTTCTCCATTTCTTGGCATAACATATCTGTGTGCACCGACCAAACATAATCTTTATCCAGAATTAAAATGCAGGTTTCAACTTCAAAACAGCTTGAACAATTTCTTTAGTCACATTTGCTGCAAGACTGTACAATATCGGATGAAAAGGCTTGCATTCATATAGCTTTCCTAACTTGGAAATCCCAAAACACTTCACAACCAATTTAGTCACTCTGAAGTGCAGTCACTGACGTAAAGTAAGTAATACCATAACAATTCACATATAGGCTGCCAGCTAAGAGCAATTAAATAAATAGCCAAATGATACACTATATCGGTTGATGGATAAATACTGGATGTGGAATGCAGGAGGAATTTCCCTGTTCTTCTTTAGATAATGCCATGGGACATTTCAGAAGTAACCAAACGTTTTAAGCTCGCATCCAAAAGATGCCACCTGGAATAGTTCAGTACTCCCTTACTACTACATTGTAGTGTCATACAGGGTGGTTAACTATATCAAATCCTTTAAATGTTTCAAATAATCAACTGGAACACCCCTCAAGGGAAATACAAGTTAAGGGTTTGCAATCTGACCATCTGAGGCCCCAAATCATCCAGAGTTAAACCAAAACGTAATCTTTCCATCCACAAAGCCAATAAATCAATATACCCTCCTTCAGATGCAATTGCTGAAACCTGATGCCTTATTCCAGATGTAGTTAGAGAAAGGCTCTACACAAAAACATTTTACTTCATCTTGGAAGTTAAGCCTTAGTTTAGACTTATTAGCCTTTGAGATTTTACTTTTATACCAGTATACTAGTTTTGGTAACATAGTTAATCTCAAATCATTTTGTTCTGCTCCAGTTTTTGATTTCAGGTCATTTAGGAAACACTGATTTATACAGAGTTACAGTGGATTCCCTCACACTTGTCTACATTGAACTCTCTTTAAGATAATACTTAAGTAAACAAAGCTGTGTTTGTTAAGCACCTTACAAGACCTCAGAATTTTGCAAAGCACATTATAATCTTAATAAACAAGAACAAAAGTTGAAGTCCTAGAATAGATGCCACACAAAAACATTTGCTATTCACCACCATTCAGAGAAACTACCCTGTATCTCTAGTATGCCTATCTTCCAATCAATTTTCAATCGATATCAAATTTCTTGTATATAATTCATCCACATGCCTTCCAGAGGTCCATTTAGCTAAAATCAGGAGATGCTCACTTATTAAGGACATCAAAAAACAAAGTGAAGTCCGACAGCTGAATATATCTTCTGAACTGAACCAACTTTGTCTGGATATTCCTCTTCATTCATAAATGAATTCACAATTTAAACATCAAAAGAATGCGTGTTACGAAAGAGAAGACTATATTATATAGGAAAGTTGAGATAATTTTTCCAATTAAAAAGACTCATTTACAGATATTTGTCTCAAAACACAATGATTTAGATTGTCATTTTTATAGGCTGTGACTGCTAATGTACCAACATTTTGTATTGCTAATTGCTAATTCAGAATGGTCTAATATGGGTGCACACAGCTCAAAATTATGAATTTGAAGTAAAATAATGATTGAAGGCTTAGGCATGCAATTCAGAGTTTATGAATTTAATCGTTGTCTGTGGGCTATTTCATATTGCATGGTCTTCTCAATTACAGAGTAGAAAATCAAAATGGCTCTCAAAACATACCCTTTTGATTCCAGTTCAAACTCATCTTCAACCCAAGTGTAGATCTGGGTAGCCAGGATTGCAGACACATCGAGCTCCTGGATATCATGACTTGTGGCTATGGCAACACAGTTCCGATTAGCCTAAAAGGTGGAAAGGCAGACCACGTCAAGTTTTGACACCACTATTACAGAATATTAGACTCCATATCAATTTCATTAAATGCAAATTAGATCAATATCCCTCTCAAAATCAATATTCATTAGCTTTCATTTGAAAAGAACACAGGAAAAAAATTTACCGTAATTAACAGGCACTTTTTGATGGAATTATGCATTCACCTACTTTATTAATCGCAAATGCTGTAATGATGTCAGATTCTTTATGCACGATCCTTGCTCTTCCACCAGAATAACCAGAATCAGCTTCCGCCTTTGCAAAACAAAACAGAAAAGACCATATTCTGTACTGTAACAATGCTCCTTGTTGCCTCATGGTACATTAGAACTGCATAACAAAAGCGTGCCAACAGCTTTTTTTTCCCCCAGAAATTCACCTTCATCAATTTGCATATGACTGTACAAGATTAACAAGAGAAGATTCTACTGTGAGATATACCCACTTTGGAACTAAAATGATGATGTGTAGTTATAACATTGACATGCATACTGGGTTCAGTTTTGCATTCTGGAAAAGTGCTATTTTCCCCCACTATAGATTTCAGGTTTGTGCAAAACCAATTTTATCCTTTTGGTTTGCACTTCAATAATGATGGTAGCACTACTATTGACTCCCGAGCAGGAAGTGACTATTATATCAGAGACTGTTACATCAGAGACTGCCTGTATTCTGGGTTAAATGAATTTTGTTATCTGTCCAACTGTCTTTCTCTGTCTTTGGGCTCTAGCCTATTGTTCACTCCCTACCCCACCCACCTCCCTATTTCTTGTATATAAACTAACGTTTTCCCAGCCACCATCAGTTCTGAGGAAAGGTCACCGGACCTGAAACGTTAACTCTGTTTTCTCCTTCACAGATGCTGCCAGACCTGCTGAGCTTTTCTAGCAACTTTGTTTTTGTTCCTGCTTTACAGCATCCGCAGTTCTTTTGGTTTTTATTTAGAATTTTGTTGGTAACTTGCCTACCTGATAAGTTGCAATTTGAGTTATATTTCTCACCTAATACATTATAATAAGAACAAGCGAGACTCTGCACCTTGCATTACGTTGAACTGGGTTTGACCTCAAGTTTTATAAAGCACTTGCAATGAATATTGCAAAGCTTCTCAGAGAGGGGTGAAAAAATGAATAAATAGATGAAACTTATGGACATTGAACACAGGGAAGAGATAATTAAGACTGACTCAAAGTTTAAACTAGATTAAAACTAGGTGCTGAGATTTTTTTTTGAAAAAAGGTAAAGACAAAATGAGAAGCAGTGGGTTATAGTCTGAGACAGTCTAGGGTCAGCTGACTGAAGGCTTTGCCTTTGGAGTAAGAGGGATTCGCAGAAAGGTCAAATGGTTTGGGGAAGAATGAAAGACTGGAGGAAATTATAATGTTAGACTGAAGCAAGGCAATGGCAGCCAAAGCTTTTAAATTTAATACAATGTGGCAGAGAGTCAATGCTGAGGGAGCATTCTTTTTTCCCCATACGATGTAAGCAAGGCAAGAATTTGTTGTTCCTCCGAACTGCCCTTGCAAAGGGGCAGTGACCGCTGGCTTAAACTGCTGCAGTCAAAACAAAATGCTTACCAGAAAATGCCCACCTCCTTTCCATAAAAGCTACTTAGCTGGTCCCACTACTCTGCTTTTTCTTGTAGCCCTCAAAGTTGGCCAGTTTCCTTTTGAAAGGAATAATCGAATTAACTACCACCACACTCTCAATTAATGCAAACCAAATCATTAGGGGAGGAGACTGTCAAGTGGTATTATCACTAGACTGTTAACCCAGAGACCGAGGTAATATTCTGGGTTCAACACCGCCATGGCAGATGGTGAAATTTGAATTCAATAATTCAATATCTCTATGCAATTAGGGATGGGCAGTAAATGCTGGCTTAGTCAATGATGCCCTCATCAGTGATTAAAACAAAAACACCAGTCCATAAAAATAACTCCTTCCTAGTGTCACTACTGCTTTTCCTTTTGCCAATAATCTTTAATTTGTGTCCTTGGAGGTGTAGTAGACAGCAAAGGTTACCTCAGAGTACAACAGCATCATGATCAGATGCGCCAATAGGCTGAGGAGTGACAGATGGAATTTAATTTAGATAAATGTGAGGTACTGCATTTTGGAAGGGCAAATCAGGGCAGGCCTTATACACTTAATGTTAAGGTCCTGGGGAGCGTTGCTGAACAAAGAGACCTTGGAGTGTAGGTTCATAGCTCCTTGAAAGTGGAGCCGCAGGTAGATAGGATAGCAAAGATGGTGTTTGGTACGCTTGCCTTTATTGGTCAGTGCACTGAGTACAGGAGTTGGAGGTCATGTTGCGGCTGTACAGGATATTGATTAGGCCACTTTTTGGAATACTGTGTGCAATTCTGGTTTCCCTGCTATAGAAAAAATGTTGTGAAACTTAAAAGGGGTCAGAAAACATTTACAAGGATGTTGCCAGAGCTGGAGGGTTTGAGGCATAGGGAGAGGCTGAATAGGTTGGGGCTATTTACCCTGCAGCGTCGGAGGCTGAGGGGTGACCTTATAGAGGTTTATACAATCATGAGGGGCATGGACAGGGTAAATAGACAAGGTCTTTCCCTGGGGTAGGGGAGACCAAAACTAGAGGGCATAGGTTTAACATGAGAGAGGAAGATTTAAAAGGGACCTAAGGGGCAACTTTTTCGTGCAGGGGGTGGTGCGTGTATGAATGAGCTGCCAGAGCATGGAGGCTGGTACAATTACAACATTTAAAAATGGCAACTGGATGGGTATATGAATAGGAAAGGTTTTAGAGGGGTAAGGACCAAATGCTGCAAACAGATACCTGGTTGACATGGACAAGTTGGACCGAAGGGTTTGTTGCCATACATCACTATGACTCTAGTCAATATGAACAGTTTTTCCATATATTCTATGTCCAGATTCAATGCTCAAGTTGAGGCCAAACCAGTGTTTGATCCAGTTTTACCATGTCCGTCCATGCTTTCATACTCTGTTTCTATTTTGAAAGCCCGTGATCAACATGCCATATTAACCATTTTCACAACTGTTCCTGCGACCTTCAACAATTTATGCACATACACACCCATGCCCCTTTGCTCCATATCCCATTTAGAACTGCATCCTTTATTTTGTATTTCCTTCTCTCATTCTTCTAAGATGTATTACTTCATGCTTCTCAGTATTAAATTGAATTGCCACGTGTCCACAACATTTACCAAATCATTTAAGATCTCTTGAAATGTGTAACTAACTTCCTCACAGTTCATAATAGGACCAAATTTGGTTAAACTTGCAAAGTTTGAAATGGAATCCTGCATGCTCAAGTCCAGATCAATAATATCAGTCAAGAAAAGCAATGGGTATAATCATGACCCACCTAGGGAGCCCCACTGCACATCTTCCAGTCCTGCTCAACACAATTCTCTGCTTCTGGTCATGTAACCAAATTTCCTACTTATAACACCACTGGGTTTTATTCAGTTTCAACGTAGTTCTCAAACCAATTCTGTTGCACTTCAAAAAGGTTTGGTGGAAGTTCATAATATCAAACTATTACCTCTTCAACTCTGTTACATTAAAATTAAAAACCAACACTACTAACCATATTTTACTGTGAACAAATTTGCATGAAAATTTTTTGATTAATTTAAATTTGTGCACATTGACTGTTTCTCAAAGCTTCCCCACCACTGAAATATAACTCACTGGCCTATAACTGTATGGCTTATCCTTTATCCATTTTTAAACAGTGTAACATTTGAAATTCTCCATCCTCTGGGATCACTCCTGAATCTAAGGATAAGGGAGTCACTTGCAATTGTGTTAGCTCAAACCTGGTCCTCTTTTCTTTCCCTGGTAACCAGGATTTGGTACCAAGCCTGTCCATCTCTGCTTCTTTAGTGAAGGTAAAGAAAAGTTCATCAGTTAGCTTGGCTATCTTTTAATGGTCATTTTAAATCAACTATTCTTATTCACTAGTTAATTGCTTTGATATATTTTTGCACAGCAAATTGTTTTTCTGCTTCATACCTCAACTTTCAAGTCAAAATTCATCTCATCTTTCAGAAGTGAGCTCACTGACACCTCGAGGAAGAATAAAATTGGAAAGTGGCCGCTCATGTAAAAACATTGGATTACACCTGGTGTACAACATGCATTGCAGTGATACAGCGAATTCCACAAGCTCTACTGCCTGGCAGGACAAGGGAAAATGCACAGGGATACTACGACCTGCAAATTGCCCTCCAAGCCACACGCTATCATGGTTTCAAATTTCACATGTTTATATGAGGGGAGTTTTGATTGATTGATTAATGATTTATTGTTAGACACGATTAATCCGGAATTCAGAGTAAACTTATTATGAATTGATCAAGTCACATTAACCTTCACTAGGATGTTAACATGGTGAAGTGAGGACTGTTTATGGACGCCGTCCATTTTAACTTCCTAAAAACGTATTTGAGAAGACTCTACACAAGAGATTTAAAACAAAAATTAGGTGCATGGAACTTAAGATATAGGTCACAAATTAGTTGGAAATTTGGAGAAAGTAGAAATGAAGGGAATGTATGTATTGCCTTAATGTGGCAAGTAGTGCTGCCCAGAGATCTCAGTAAGTTTTTAACCATATAACTCAAAAACTTGAATATGGAACTCTCCTCCATTATTCAAGTTGGCAGACAATAACTAAATTAGGAATAACAGTAAGTTTTGAGGGAGGCAGCATGAAGTTAGATAGTGAATCAGTCAGATTAAACCAGTCAGCAAAACTGATAGATGAAGTTAAATTTCAGATTATCCATTTTGATTACAAGATAATAATTCAGAATACTTTCCGAATGGCAAAAATGCAGGAAATGGCAACGAGTAGAAAAAAAAATTGTCCATACACAGACAAAGTAACCAAAATAATTAAACAGAATTACAGCATTTTTCATGTGTATCAGAATACAGGTTGGTAAAAGTTGTGCATTTGAAGCATAACCTTGGTAAAGCCAAATTGGATTACTGCATTCAGTTCTGGGTAATACAAGAAAGGCAATATTTTTCTTTAAGGGTTATGATGCAGTTTTATCAAAGTGACAGATCTTAAAGGATTAAATGACGACCACAATTGCATAAATGGTTTGCATTCCCCTGAATTTTTGAAGGTTGGTATATGACTTGATTGAAATCTTTAAAATTACAAAAGCATGAATTGGAATAGATTACTGCCCCCTGTGGCAGACCTGGTGGACTGAATTAAAATTAGAGCAAAGCTGTTCAAGATTGAAATGAAAGAAACTCCTTTTTTGTAGGAAGAGTAGTGAAAATGTAGAACTGTTTTCCAAAAAAGGTTATGGAAGTTAGATTAACCAAAACTTGAAATTTGATGGAATCTCATTAGGTACAGGTATCAAAGGCTACAGATCAATGTAATGCAAATGGTGTTCTATACAGATCAGGCTTGAGGGATGAAAGCTACAACAGTTACTGTGGAGATCCTTCACTTCAAACAAAGTAGGACAGAATAATTTTGGGTAGGCATAAATTGCAGAAATTTGAGATAATGTCACCATTATGTGGGGATTTTAATTTAAGGTTTAAATATAATGAATATAAATTGACCATGGCCTATATAAACATAGTGGAATTTAATGGGCAGCAAAATTGCCCAGTTGCAAGGTTAAGATCCATGATTTAAAAGACGATTTTTCCACTAAAGACGATTGCTTCGTCTGTCAGTTGGTATGGATCTTAGCTGTTCTGTGCAAAAGGATGTGCTCCTCATCTACTGCTAATATAATTTTCTAGGTTCTGATGCAAATAGGCATTTTTAGCTTTATCAATGTGCCAGCGAAGCAGATTTTAAAATTGTAATGAAAAATAGCAACTTTGCCTGATGCTAAAATCACAGAAATGCAAGCATAAAAATGAGCATATTTCAGCGTAGAGAAAAAAAACCCATACCTGTTTATTGCAACTCTGGCAAATGTAAAAGGAAATGCATATATTTCAAAATACATGATATGGTGAGTACTGTTCCCGTGACCACTAATTTCATATGTGGTCTCCCCAGGTACTTGACTTACGGGTTTATTTGAAAACAGTTTTTTTTAAAAACAGACTTTGAGTGATTAATCAAATTATGTTGAACTGAAGGATGACCCTTGTATTACAGCAGTATGTATTGCCTGGGGAGAACACTACAGCCAGAGGTGGTTATTAACAATTGAGCTGTACCTTGTTGATGCTAGGTTCCTCCATCATAGAATTTCTGTCTGTTTCATTGGAGGGGTCTACTGACTACATCAAGAACAGCCACAAGACAAATTGTTTAAAAGTTAATTAAGCATGGATTAGAAAATATTATAGATGAAACTTTGATTTAGGTCTGAAAGTGTAAATGATCACAGATCTTTAACAACCGGCATTTTGTATAGATATTGCACTGGTTTTACTGTTAGTACATGGAAGTCTTAAAGTCATAGTGCACGAAAACAGACCCTTCAGTCCAACTCATCCACGCTGACCTGCCATCCCAATCTGATGTAGTCCCGTTTGCCAGTATTTAGCCCATATTACTATACCTGGTCCATCGACATCAACACTACAGTCATGAAAGCACACAAACGTCTCTACTTCCTAAGGCGGCTAAAGAAAAAGGGTATGCCCACAATGTTGCTTCATTTTTATAGATGCATCGTAGAAACCATCCTATCCAGCTGCATCACAGCTTGATGTGGCAACTGCTCTGCCCAAGATTGCAACAAATTAGAGTTGTGAATGCAACCCAGTCCATCATGCAAACTAGCCTTCCTTCCATCGACTCCCTCGACACTTCCTGCTGCCTCGACAAAGTGGTCAATATAAGCAAATATCCCTCTCACCCCTCCCACTCCAGTTGTTATACACTCTTCCATTAGGTAGAAGATATAAAAGTTTGAAAGCATGTACCAACAGATTCAAGAACAGCTTCTTCCCTGCTGTTATCAGACTAGTGAACCCCTATTAGACTAGCTGATTAAAGTATTCCACAATCTTCCCAATAAAACTTGATTGGCCATTCCTTTTAATTTTTTTTCCAACAGGACTAGACTAGACATTTGGGACAGGGATTTTATTCTTTTAAAATCACCTGAAATAAACTAATAGATTTAAAATCCAAGAAACATTTAAAATCAATATAATAATCAAGTGAGCAGAAGAACATTCAGAAGCTATAAGACAATACAAACTAAAGAAAGAGCAGGGAAGACTATATAGTCTGTCAGGTTGTCTCCACCATTCTGTGTGACCAGAGCAGATCTTGAACATTAAACACCACTTGCTGTCATCTGCCTGTATCCCTCTATTCCCGGAGACAGCAAATACCTGTCTAACTCAGCTTTAAATACATTTAGTGGTGGCACATCCACAACCCTCTGTAATGCAAAATTCCAAAGAGTCTTTCTGATAGCTAATTTATCCTCATCTTAATCTTGAGTGGTTGGTCCCTTATCCCAAAACTACTGCTCTCTTGTTATAGATCTCCCAGTGGAAACAATTTTTCAGTAATAAATCTGTTAAGTCACTTCATACAATGGAATATTTAAGTGAGATCATCTCTCATTCTTTAGAAAATACTCATTATCAACAACTTAGTCAGCAATTAGAGAACTAGAATTGCAAAAGTTTGTTCCTTTAAATTTAAAGGGCACTGCAAACTATGAGAAAGAAAGTAGGTGATATACCATCTGGCAGAGTTGACAGGGGCATGGTAATTAATGTTCAAATTCAATAAATGTGAGCAAAATATTTGGGAAAAAAGAACATGAGCAAATATGCCATAACTGAAAATTTTCAATGGGATTGAGAAACAAAAAGTGAGAGGTCAATTTAAGCCTCTTCAAAAACAGGTAGGAAAATGGAAGCACAGGAAAAGAAAGTTATTATTGGCTCTATATTTAGTGGTACTGAAAACAAAAAAAAATTATCAAATGTTAGTTGCACTACAGTTGGAATGCTCAATGCAGTTTCACAAACTCAATGATGGACAGGATACTGGAACTACAACGATGATTTACTAGAACGTTGCAAAGCATAAAGATTATGAGCAGCACTTTAATGTGCCGTAGGGTGGGCTGTAGGGATTGGCTAACTTTAGCTTTACAGAGGAAGGCTGAGAGGAGAACATCCAGAAGTGCTTGAATTTAGAGGTGTTAAAAGGTGGGATGAAGATTTTGGTAACATGGGTTGAAAGAGAATGAAGGCAAGGCAATGTTAACGAAAAAGCAAGCACACTGCTAGAAAGACCAAGGGATTGGAAATTCAGTTCATGTGGAAGTGAGGAATGGAGAACAATTTGGTTCAGCCAGAAACAAAAATGGGAAAGGAGTCAGCAAAAAAAAAAACAGTACAAAGTCTGTGGTGAGGTCAGTCAAAATAACTTCATTCTTACCAATGCACAGTAAGAAGAAGATCTTGTCTCATCTAATTTATATGCAGAGGCATTATGAGAGAAGCTTGAGTGATGGCAGAACACAAATGGAAACTGATCCATGACTACAGTTGAAACTGTCCACGTGATAATTCCATTGACCTACATTTCTCCATCAGCCAAATGATAAAAGGAACTGCAATCTCATCAAATGGCATTGACTCACCAATAACTTGTTAATTGATGTATAATTTGGGTTCTACCAGCACCAATCTACTCCATGCATCATCACAGCTTTGGTCCAATATGGGCATAGAATAGAATTCAGAGATGAAGTACAAGTATGATTGCCTTTGATATCAAGGCAGCATTTGACGGATGGCAATATCATCAAGGAAACTTAGTACAACTGAATTCAATAGTAATCAGGGAAAATGTTCTAAAAGGTTGGATTCATACCTAGCCCAAAAGGATGATAGTTGTTCCGAAGAAGGGTTAAAGGTGTTGAAACTTTAACTGTTGTCTCTCCACAGATGCTGCTATATCTACTGAATTTCTCCAGCAATTTCTGATTTTGTTGTGGGAAAACATTGTGTTTGTTGGAAGTCAGTTATCTCAGTCAGGACAATGCTGGGCCTCCTCAACGCAGTGCCCTTAACCCAATCCATTACTTTGTTAATGACTTCCACATCAGAAGGTCAGGAGTGCAGATGTCAATGATCATGCAGCCTAACAAACTCCAAGTGAATTTTGATTAGATTACTATTGCTGAATCGTCTGTCAGTATGCTGGCAGTCACCATTTGACAGAAACATGGGTTGCCCAGCTATACAGACACTGTGGCTACCAATGCAGCCCTAAGCGTAGGTACGCTATCAGTAATAGTTCAGTTTCTGACTTTCTAAAGCCCTTCCACTATTGACAAGGCATAAAACAGAAGAAGCGTGACAAGGCATTTCTTGGGGGAGTTCAGTTCCAAAAGCACTCAAATGTTCGGCATCATCCAGGACAAAACATTCTCCTTTATTAGCACACGATCCACCACCTTCAATATTTACAAACTGGTGCACTAATGCCTTATGTACCACCTACAACAGGTACTGAACTTGCCAAGCCTTGTTGAGCAGCAATTTCCAAACCAGTGACCTCTACCATCTAGAAGAACAAGGACACAGCAGGCACCATCACACTCCCTTCTGAGTCGCATAACATCCTGACTTGTAAATACACTGCAGTTCTTTTGTCACTCCACCTACAGCACCATGGGAGAGCTCATGCCACAATGCAGTGCTTCAAAAGGCAGTTCACCACCATTGCCTGAATGGAAATTAATCATGGCTTTTCCAGTGACATTCAGGCTTTACCAAAGGGGAAAAATTTTAAATAGCTGAACTAAACTCAACTGCAATGGTCAGATTTTTATTACTGTACCTGGATTATTAATCCAGGACTCTGGTTTATGAATCCAGTAACAAAACCTCAGAACTACTGTACCTGATTGCTTAATTCCAAAGGTGTAGTGCTGTGTTAGTATTAGAATTGTGAGCAGATAAAAAGATGAAGATATGGATGCTTGTGGTCTTGTCCAGTAGCATACACGTGAACATGAATGAAGACACTATCTTACTTTGCAACAGCAAAATAAATAAATAGAACTTTATACGTTCCACAAATCAGTGAAAAAGTTGCATGTAAATTATTTTCTTTAGACTTGTTTTATGGGTCATATATTTTCCAATTTATTTCAGGCATTTCACAATACTGGCAATGTTTAAAGAGTAGAATTCACCAATGAAATTCATTATAGAATTGGTTAACTTTTGACAAAACTCCTTCAGCCTCCTTAATTGGCTAACTCTGACGCATGATTATGTAGCCATGGGCAAACACCCCAATTTCCTATCTTACTGTGAGGTCATTGATGAAGTTGCTACAAATGATTGGGACTGGGATACTAACTCTGTGCCAGAGAGAACTCCTGTGGTGCAGTTGCAGCTTTCTTGCTGCTGGGCCACAAGGCACAGGCTCATGCGCTACCTACTCCAGAGAGTGGTATCACAATATTTCTGAACAAGTACGCTCTGCACCCGAGATAATTGATGAATGACCAAACCACCTTCCTTTAGGTTTGGTATGGCTCAGACTAGTAGGGATGTTTCCACACTCCCAATGACTTCAGTTTTGCTGGAGTTCTTTAACATCACTATTAGTCAAACAGTCATGCTCACTTCACATCTGGAGCTCAAATAATCTTTTACAACTACTTGTACAACTTACCAAGCTGCATGTTTCTGCAGAAAAGATGTGACTTAATTCTAATGTACTATTCAATCATTCTCAATTTAGAGTTTACATGAAAACATTAATAGTAACAATATGTAGACTGCGAGACGAATTAAGTTCAAAATTGTACTTATTTCAATACTACACACCTCATTTTGACATCTTTTTTTTGTGAAAATATTTCTGATGAAAATCTCTTGTACTTCTTCCTGTTTCACAAGGTATTGCCAAAGTCTTTTAACAGGAAGAGCGGTGTGGTGTTTTGACCTGTCAAGGAAAAGCAATTTCAATGGTGCAAGCCTTTGAATTTTTAGATGATTTTCATGTAATTATATAACTCAAGATAAAAATAGCACTTAACCTTTTTCACACAAAATTCTGAAGCAATAATGAGTGTCCACATTTCATTAAATTATATTTTTAATAGAAAGACATAGCAAGGCTGGTATTATCTGTTTTCAGCTGGCTCTTTGGTACAACAATGAAAAATTATTATTGCCTCGTTCTCTCCTCCTTGCTCTAGATCTTAACATAAAAATAGTTAATATTCACTTAAGGGACACAACACTTACTTTGTTAATCACTGATGTTGCCAAACATGACCCATCTTTGACAATGTTGTGTTGGCTATACTTAATTACATGTAGGCATTACAACTTGAATTATCGATTCCAAAAAGGTTTGCCACAATGCGCATTAAGTTAAATATTCCAAGATTATTTGACAAATGCATTAAATAATTAACTTTCCGATTCCAAAGTACAACTTGAACACCTAAAGATAACTGCAATGATAACGGTAGATGAGGTGGGTTTGGGGAATGGATCTGGGTGGGATGCTCCGAGGGTCAGTGTGGACTCGTTGGGCCAAAGGGCCTGTTTCTACACTGTAGGGATTCTATGAAATTCTATGAATGTCACGGTCAGTACTTCTAATGTCCCCTCTTTTTCAACATCACAATGTCAATCCCATCACAATTTGCTGATTTCATCTTTTATTTATCGGAACAAATTTGTCTTCTGAATATACATTATCATTGATTCTTTAATATCCTTTTCTATTTTTATACTGATCCTACCAAAGTTATAATTTCTGATGCCTCATTATCTTTTGTTTAGGTTGCCCCTTCACAGACAGTCAACCAACACATTTTTCCTTAACGGACAGAATAATTATTCAGATCTAGAAAATGCTCTTGAATAGATACTTTTTTTCTTTGACTTTGTACGTTATGTTTTTTCTAGTCTACCCTGGGCCAATTAAAATGATCTAATATTTTTGGCTCTTCCCTCTTACTTGAATGGGGTATTGGTGGGTTCCAGCAATGCTTTATGAATGAGGAGAGCAGGACCTGAAGACACTGTGCCTTCAGTGGCATACATTGAGATGAAATCTTGAGGAGGACCACCAAATAATTCAAGACGCCGAAGTAACACTTGTTCCCAGCGCTGAAGAGTTTTTAAAATTGCATGGCAAGAAGGGGAACAAACTGGGAGCTCTGTAAGAGATAAGAGAAACAAAAAAGGCTAAAACACTGATGAAATAACAACAATTTGCTCTATTAGAACTTAGTAAAGTGGAAGAAAGAAGTTGTGAAAATGAATTAGTTGGACCATCACTGTATGAATGTTTCATCTCATCAAAATCTTCCATTTACTTTCTTCTAGGTTCAAGGATGAAAACAGATGAGGCCAAAACGGTTTGAAAAGCAGTGGATAAATACAAAAAAAGTCTGCTTTTTCTCCTCCCCCTGTGACAAGAAATCATGTAATGATGACATCTTTTATGATGTGTACTGAATGTAAATGCTTCCAGGCCACACTAAATAAGTGGAATTACTAGACTTCAAGCTTCAGCTTCCAACACAGTCAAGATCATAAACCAACACATTTATATGCAATCACTAACTCTACCTCACTATTTCAGTAAAAACCAAAAGAAAACTGCTGAGCTTTTCCAGGAACTTGGTTTTGGCTCACTATTTCAGTATTCAATACAGGATGAAATCATTTAAAACAACAGAAGATGGCTTTGCTGGATTATGAACATGCAAAGCACAGAATGACAGCACAGCTTTGTAAACTACTTTCCAATAAATAGACTGTATAAGCAATGCCCATTGTCCTGTGAAAGAACATACATAAAAATGCTTCTGAAAAATGACCATAGAGACCAAAATACGTGAAGGTGGCACTCAGTGGGAATGCATCCTTTTGCTTGTTTGTATATAGTTTTTCCTTGAGGCTTCCCATTTGGTGCTCTGTAATTACAAAGCTGGAGAGGATTTTTTTTTTTTTTCAGACCTTCCATCTCATTGATGCAGCTTCAGGCCAATTTGTATGTTATGGCTTACTCTGAAAAACCTGCTCATTTTGATAACTGTGACAAATTCCCCCAATATAGCTTAAACAATTCACAACATTAAGTAAAACTCATTGACAGGAAAATAAACACGCAGGACTACGAGAATAGAATGGGACTGATTGAATGGCAAGAGCTGACACTAACTCGATCAACCAAGTGGCCTCCTTCTGTGGTGCAATAACACTAATTGTGGCAATATTCTTAAAAAAATTTTCCTCGTCCCTGAATGTTAATTGATCCATAAAAAATTCCAAGCTTCAGACATACTTCAGTAACAAAAACTAATTAGAATGTGTTCAAGAAAGAATTATCCTTGTACAAAATTTTACTGAAACATGTTCATCAGTTTTTGATACACAGTCAACAGACAAAAACAACAGGCGTGAAAATGTTCCCTCAGTGGTAACAAAGCATAATAATTTTCCACCCATAATTAGAGTTTGTGCATTATCAACCAACATACGTAAATGGCTTATATAAATAGGGGTTGAAAGTACTTCGTAAAAGTATCACTTTTGATATATTCATCAAGGTTTCTGCCTAACTCTCCATATATTCCTTGGTGATAGAAGACTCAGTGAAGCCTTTCCTTCTACAAACATTGTAATCAACCCCTTTGATCCCATGAGGGAGAAGGCTCTCTTCCCAATCCCTCCTCTTTGACAGCTCACATCGCAACCCCTTCTACACGTCACTCATTCAATATTTCATCCCAAACACTTTCTACTCCACATAACCGGACAGCCCCTCTTCCCAACTAATCACCACTCACTCAAATTCCTTGGCCAACTCCCTCTGCCCCGCACAGCCTACTGAACTCCATCAAGAATTGGGATCTGCTGCTCCTCCCTCTGCCGAGCCTGCTGAGCCATTCTGCCAAATGGTCAACAAAGTACACTGTCCCAGTGGAATGGAGTATAAAAATAGGGAGACCTTGCCAAAAATCTACAAGGCACTGGTCAAACCACAGCTGGAATATTGTGAACAGATTCAGTCTCTTTATCTGAGTAAAGATATACTGGCATTGGAGACGGTCTAGAGAAGGTTCACTCGATTGAACTTGGGGATGGAAAGATATTATGATGAGATGTTACGGAGTTGGGCCTACCCTCATTGGAATTTATAAGAATGAGAGAAGATCTTATTGAAGAATGTATGACTCAGAGGGGGCTTGACAAGATAGATGCAGAGACGTTTTTCTCCCCACGTGTAGAATGTCTAGGCCCAGACAGCATAATCTTAGAGTAAGGAGTTTCCCATTTAAGACCAACATGAAGACTTCTCCTCTCACAGGATAATAAATTCATGAAATTCTTTATCACAGATGGTTGTTGAGATTGGGTTATTTTCTAATCATTAAGAGAAACAAAGGGGATAAGGCAGAAAAGTGGAGTTGAGGTTTATCAAATCAGCCATCATCGTTTTGAACGGAGGAACAGACATGATGGACCAAATGGCCTATTTCTACTCCTATGCACTAAGGGATGTGGCAGCACTCAAGCCTATTCTCAGCCTCATTAATGGCAAAGTTCGTCCAAACTTTTAAATTCACTCCTCCTGGTTTCGGCCACAATGAAGACAGTACTGGTAGGGCATGGAGGTCTGGAAAAAATAGAAGGCAGACATTTCTCATCCCTGTACACTCCAATCTCCCTTCATATGTATTCAAATTGTCAAGGTGAATTAAGAATTGAGTACCATAAGCTGAGAAGGCAAATGTGGGGAGAAAATTACATTGAGATAACTAGAGAAAGTAATTAATTACCTGAAAGATCCAGCCCTGCCATTGGGTAAAACTTCTTCAAATTATGAAGCACCAACTGTACCATAGCATATCGCATCAATGACCAGCTAAACAATAGGAAACAAGATTGTTACAAAGCAATTGCACTTGATTCTCAACTATTTTCTTTTGTTAACTGAGATACGACAATGTGATATGACACACTGGTTAATAAGTTTGGAGGAATTTAGGTTTTACTCTCCCAGTTGTAAACGCAATCAAGACATGTTGACAAACTGGCAACAATCCAAACTCATTTTAAATGTGACATATATTGTCACGTAGCTTTTTCAAGCACACAATTACATGGCTTTATAACTATTTTTAGTGATTTTGCATGTTTTGTGAGCAATGCCAATACTCATGATAAAACACACTTGTGCTACTCAGTACAGCAAATGCTTAAGTTACATATCGTGAAAACAAAGTACAAAGTACAGAGTAAGGCCCCTTTATTCTATCACTCCAATAAAACCTAAAACACAAAACTTTACTTTAAATCAGTCTGGTCACATAGCTATTGTGGCAGCTTGTGATCAGGGCTGTCAAAACAATAGAAGTTTCTACACTGTGGACCTAATTTTGCAAGATTAGCATCACGTAATAAACGGCCCAAGGCAATAGAGCCATCATGGGTACACATTTACATCACCAGTTTAGGTAGAATTAAGAAATATATCTGACATGAGGAAATTGTAGTCGTCAGAGACTAGTTATCAAAGCTCTGTCGTTCCTCAGGGAAGCTTATGTCAAACCATTCTCAACCAGTTCAGAAGTTCTGTTCTTTATAATAGGGCTCTTGTGATCACAACTCCTTCAATAATGTCTGATATTCAACTATTCAATTTATATATTTTTAAAAACCATTTAGTATCATTTGTGTATCTCAAGTTAATTATTAGTTTAAATATTTCTCTAACCATGATGATTTTTTTTTTAAATAAACAATTGGAGGGAGGTTTTTTGGCAGCACAAATAGATTTTGTTTACCTCAGGATTTTTTTTAATGACTTAGCAAGGTAGATCAATACGCTTTTAAAGATCTGCAAACATTTCTAGACTTAAGAGTTTTTGTAAGCACTTGGGAAACACCAAAACTTTGTTTTCACCCCAGGTCTCTTCATTTTGGGTAGTTCTGTGAAGACTTTTGATGGAAGTGTATGTATTACACCTGAGAAGGGAGAATTTAGTAAAAGTTGATTACTCAAAAGTGAACAGTTAGTAATAGCCCCAAATCAGAAGTGTTGGGCCAAAATCCTGAAGAGGTTGCTCAAGATATGGGAAGGAAAGTAGACCAGCCTATTGAGCTGTTCGACCAATGATATGGCTGATGTGGGAAAATAATCTTTCTGCATCTACCTGCTCAAGCCCCCTGAGAATTTTCTACGTTTTAGTAAGGTCTCTTCTCATTCTTCTAGGCTCAATTAATTACAAGCCCAACCTACTCACTCAATCTTTCCACATAAGAGAAAATAAACTATGTGCTGGAGAAATAGTGTGTCTGGCAGCAGTTATGGAGTGAGTAACAGTTTACTTTGCAATTTTGATCCGGCTCTTTTGAAGAGAAAGGGGCTAGTAAATGGTAGTTTCTATGCTGTTGACCGAAGTGAGTGGAACAGATTGAGAGAGTGACTAGAGCAAACGACAAAGGAAGTACGCTTGGTGGTGAAGCAGAAAGAGGTAAAAAGTGCAAATAAAAAGTATGAAAGGGAGAAAATTGGCCCGCTCTGCGACGGGATGCCAAGTGTAGGATTGGGGTGGGGGCGCAAGAAAAATGGTCCTGACCTTCCAGTTGCTTGTCATTTTGATAAACTACTTGCTCTTGTGCTAGCATTGGGCCATGCTACAGTGTTCCAATGAAGTGAATTCAAGCTGGAGGAACAACATCTCATTGTTGGCTTAGGCACTTAACAGCTTCTATGTCTCAAGATAGAATTCCACATTTTGATCTCTGATCTTTGCTCTGCAGGTTCATTACATTCTCCCCCCATACCAGCCCCAGTTATATCTTGTTGATGGCTTGTTAGAACAAGTTGAAGTTACAGAATCCAAGGGTCAGTGATAGCAAGGAAACAAAAAGCACAACATAGCTGGGAATTGGGAATTTTTCTGAAGAAGGGTCTAGGCCCAAAACGTCAGCCTTCCTGCTCCTCTGATGCTGCTTGGCCTGCTGTGTGCATCCAGCTCTGCACCTTGTTATCTGGGAATTGTATGCTTATTTTTGGGATGTGCACGTTTGCTGTTAAAGGCAGCATTGGTTGTCTACACTCAACACAAAAGGAGAATATGGTGCTAAGTCACCATCTTTAATCTGCTGCAGTCTATTTAATGCAACTACATCCACAGTGCTGAAGGGAACTCTGATTTTGAACTAGCGACAGTGAAGGTTGGCAAAAGCGTTTCAAGTCAGACTGGTGCCTCATTTGGAGATGGTGATGCTTCCACTGTCTATGTACTTGCTCTTCAAGGGGCAGAGTTCTAGAAGGTGCTGTCAAAGGAATTGATTTGATTTATTGTCATAGGTACCCAAGTACAATGTAAAGTTTGCTTTGTGTACAGTATGGGCAGATCATACCACACAAAGTATATAAAGATAATAGAACAGAGTGAGGAATACAACATGACAGCGGCAGAGAAGGTGCACAAAGAGCAAGATCAACATTTGAGAGGTCCATTCAGAAGTCTAATAACAGTAGGGAGTTACTTCTTGGGGAGCCTTGGCAAGTTTCCAGAAGGTGCCTGTGGATGGTACATGCTGTACAGAGTGAAAGATTAAGGTGATCAGTAGGGTGCCAATCAAGTGGGCTGTATGCCTTTGATAAAGTGGAGCTACTTTAAAGCTGCATTCATCCAGATAAGCAGAGAATGGGTGGTGAAAATTAAATCTATGGTTTGTATTAGTTTCTTAAAATGACAAACTCTTACCTGAACGAGTTAGGATTTGAATGCTCCTGAAGCTGTGTGTCTGAAGCAAAAGCATCTTCCTCATCATCACTGTCCTGACTTTCCTCCGAGTCATACTCAAATTTGCTCTGTACTGTGGGAAGGAAGGGCTGGAGAAAAGAACAAGTGTTTAAAACAGCTGCAACTACCGATGAGAATTTTAATATATTTCTAGTCTAAAAATCTCAAATTTCAGCATGCATTATTAACTGTGAAATCAATTTATTATGTTTCTTATTTATAAATTAACAGATGATTAGCAGGAACAAGAGGCATAATATCACAGTCCCTGGAGATCTGAAATAAATATAGAAAATGCACACATGTGCTTTGACAAAATTACTGAAGTACTTTTTGTGCCAGGAGAGGTAGTGGCATTAAGTTATAAAAGGGAACATTAGAAACATGGGTTTCCAAACTCAATCAGGTCTATATTCTTTAAGTTATCTATGGCTGTCAGGTTTGAAAACCTGCAGCACATGGCTTTGGTGTCAGGGCAACTAGGGATGAGCCATGAACGTAGGCATATCAACAGCACCCACATCCTGTAAATTAAATCTTTTAAGAAAATGGTCGTAGGGGAAAGTAACAGATAAATCAGCATTAGTAGTTTCCTACATAGTTTGTCTGGCCTAGAGAAAATACACTCACGCCTCTTAGCCACAAGCAGTGGCACAGCTCAAAAATTCAGCACCTAAAAATCCAGGTGTTTGGGAGGATAGGAAAATCCAGCTGACTATTGTTAAAAATGGAAGCCACTGTCAAAATGAGGGTTTTCAGAGTCTAAAATATTTAATCAACCTGCCTTCTGAGAGTGGATCGACTGCTCACTGCTTGTCTTGACCTTCAGGCGCTCATTTGTGGGAAATTAGATGTTACTTTCCATCCTAAATCTATCATTACTTTGTTCATCATTCCATTTCCTGAACACCCACTGGAGCCTGGGCATGGATTTGATCAGTCTAAAGATAATTAGATCAGTTTGGATGTGAAGTCAACAGAAATAGTTAGGTTAAAGACTCCTACAGATGTCTTTGAAGATGTAACATTGGAGTATCAGAAATAAAGACACCCATGCCAGCCAGTAAGCTTACAAAAAATAAAAGTGACTATTACAGAGAGTAACATGGAAAATAGTTTTGAAATACTTCAGCAAAATATCTAACGTGGGGAAAGTAGTTTCACTGTGATGTCGCTGGACTGAAAACAGAATCTCAGCCTAATAGGTCATTCTTATCAGGTCTTGGTCTACACGCAAATCCAGAACCATAACCACGTGGTTGTTCTTTAATTGCTTTCTGAAATAGCCTAGAAAGCCACTCGGTTCAAGACGAATTGGGAATGGGAAATAAATACTGGCCTAAACAGCAATGCTCAAATCCAATGAGCAAATTTAAAAAAAAAATCTAATAATGACAAGAAATATATAGATTCTCAATATCCGTAGTGTATATTCATCCAAAACTGAATTTTTCTAACGCTGATATTGTCATTTTCTTGATATTAACCAATGGGATTTGGAAGGAAAGTTTGCAAATACATCACACACATTGCAGACAAATATTAACTTCCCATGTGTTCTTTCATGGTTTTCAAAAATTGGTTATTAGTTTTGTTCCAACATATAAAAGAAACTACCTTTGCTATAAAGTAATCCCAGATGCTAAGTTCAGGAGGGATAAACTTCTCTTTACAGACTGGAATGTCCTGACTGACAACTGGAAGAGAAAAATTATGAGAGGGTGCTTCTCTGTTTGTTGCTTTTGAACCTGTGCCCTTGAAACGGTTGTGATGCTCATCAGGAGTACCACCTTCTGTAACAGAAGTAGAGAGGAAGTAATTTGCCATTTGCTCACTGATTCACTGTGGGTATATGCTTATGAGAACCTACAAATCACAGTAATGCAATTTTACATTTTCTTCTACTTGAAAAGAAAAAGACAGACAAATAGCACTTCAATTCTAATAATTAGCACTGAATGTTAGCGTAACTTTTCTGGCATTCCGAATAAATGAACCTTCTTTAAATGAAAATACAAAAGATACTGAACATAAGATTTTTATCAATGCATTCCTGTAACTTAAGTAGGTTACTATACGTACATATATTCAGAACAGGTAAATAAGAAAACTGGATATAAGAATCAATCATTCTGCAGTTTAGGTATGTAAATACTTAAAAATAAAATAGAACTTTTAAAAAAATGGATGCGACAACTGCTTTGTCAGGAATATTTAATTTCTTGCAATGTCAGTCAGGAAATAGGAAAATGAATTCAAGTCTTTTTAAAAGTAAAAGCTGAATGAAATTTCTTATTTAACTGGTACCAAAGTGTCAATCTCTATTACTTAGAAGCAAATGCATGGGAACCAGCTGCAAGTACCCCTCATTGCAACATATCATCTTGACTTGGAACTACATCACCCTCCTTGGGTCAAAATCTGAGAGGTCCTTTCTTTACAGCATTATGGGTATCTACACTGCAGAGAGAGCAGCAATCCCAGAAGATGGTTCACCACCATTTTCTCAAGTGAATTAGCAATTGGGTAATTAGGGCTACCCTTGCTGGCAACGTTCACATGCTGTGAACCAATATGAAAAACGTTCAACTCATCTTACTTACAAGTATCCCACAGTAAACTGCACTGTCTAAACTTTAGTAGTATAACAGCAATGCATATAGAAATCGTATGTGTACAAATATAGCCCATCTGTGCCCTTAACGGTTAGCATATTTTCCATTTCCACATATCCATTTGTTAGCTCAACAGACCAATATTGACAACAGTAACAGTAATGCCTTAAAAACAAATCAGAAATCTGTTAGCTTTTACACTGTATGCATGGTTGCAGTTTGATTTATTGGCATCACAAGTAATGAGATAGTGAGAAGCGTGGCTTTGCATGCTCTACAGGCAGATCATACCATACAAAGTACATCAGGGTAGATTAACAGATTGCAGAATACAACTGCAGAGAAGGTGCAGACAGAGATCAACTTGAACATTTTAGAGATCCCTTCAAAAGTTGGATAAGTGGGGAAGAAGCTGTTGTTGAATCTGTTCATACATGCATTCAAACTTTTATATCTTCTTCCTGACAGAAGAGGGTGGAAAGAGAGGTATTTGATTAAGTTGGTTGCTTTCCCAAGGCAGCATGAACTATAGGTAGAGCCGATGGATGGAAGGCTGATTTGCGTGATGGACCGGGCTGTATTCATGACTCTCTGTTGGGGAGTCTTGGGAAGAGCGGTTACCATACCAGGCTGTGATGCATCCAGATAGGATGCTTTCTATGGTGCATCTTTAAGAAAAAAAGATGGTAACAGTCCTTGTGGCCACGCTGATTTCATTGGCCTCTTGAGGAAGGAAGGACCTTGTTGTACCTTCTCGATCGTCTTTTTGATCTGGGTGGACCAGGACAGATTGTTAGTGATCATCACTCCCAGGAACTTGACAGTCTTGACCATTTCCATCTCAGCACTATTGATGCAGACGATTTGTTTGCATTCAATTCATTTCAAGGTTTAAAGGGGTTAGTTTAAAACAAATCAATTCTTTCACAATATTAGTTGCAAGCATTTCTACTTTGTTTTTGGATAGTTTAGTTTATTAGCTAAAATGCAGAAATACTAGGCAGTCCAAGTATTTACTCACCAACCTCAGCAGTAACCTCAACTATTTCAGCCTCAGATATATGGAAATGAGGAGTTTCAAGCTTCAGCTCTAAATCAGGCAACTCTTCTATTGTTTCTACCTCTTAAGTAGAGAAAAATGCAAAGAATGTGGCAAAAATATAAATTAAGAGAAACTTAAATTTCCTTCCTTAGAAACCAAAATTTCTGTGAAGGCAGATATTATGATGTTTGACCTAAATGGCAAATGTAAACTCAATTTATCCCGAGTTTTAAATATTGCATTGTATCGTAGCACAGTACATTGTAGATATGAATGCATTTTTCATTAACTTCAATTTCTCTTCAAGTTCCATCACTGGAGCTGGCAACTAGAAAGTGCACTCCATTTGAGCTGCAAGGTAAGTCTTAGTTCCTTTTTGTGCCAGGAGATCAAGTTCTCCAGTGAACTTATCTTTTGAAGATTCTTTAACTTGTAGTTAATTATATTCTTGTGGATAAATTTCTTGCCAAAGTATGAACATGAAGTCCAACTCAAACTATTTGACTTCCATGGCTGCCCTCAAAAAGTTTATCATTGTAATTGTATTATAATTACCTTAGAAGGGAATATTTATAGCTGTATCCTTTTTAACAACCACACGTGATGTGCGGCACAAGTAAATGCAGTAAAAATCTCCTCTGTCAGAACAAGTTACTCGTTACTGCCTCCTAATTGTAAAGGATTTTTTTCTCCCTATTATCCACAGAAGCTATTCTCTCAACAATTTTGATAATCTTTTCTGTTTCGCAACATCCTTCCTATTGCACAGAGACCAGAACTGAATGCAGTATTCCAAAAGTGGCCTAACCAATATCCTATATAAAAACCAAAAGAACTGTGGATGCTGTAAATCAAGAACAAAAACAAAGTTGCTGGAAAAGCTCAGCAGGTCTGGCAGCACCTGTGAATGAGAAAACAGAGTTAACGTTTCGGGTCCGGTGACCCTTCCTCAGACCCTTTTGATGATGCTAGTGTTTGGGATGTGTGCTGTCTTATTGAAGGATTTTGAGTCAGAAATAGAGAAGACAGTGGGGTACATCTCTAAGAAGCTAACTTGGCATCAGAAGATGCACTCTACTGTGAAAATGAGATTTTAAGGTTGTTGTTAGCTCTTCAGCACTTTAAAGTTTATTTCTGACATGGGAATAGGGATACATTAATTTATACTGATCTTAATCTACTCGCCTTCTTTGAGAAATTTAAATATCAGAATGCAAGACGATTCAGATGGAGCCTTTTGTTGCAACATTTTAATGCAAAAATTGTTCATATTAATGGAAAATATAATGTAATTATGGATGCATTATCCCAAATGTAAAGTATAAGAACAAGTTAAAATTTAAGAATATCTAGATTGTGCAAGTTTCTATAAAGCAGGTAAGAATAATGAATTGATATTACATCTGGTTTTATTGTTGCATATTCCTTTTCACTTGCAGCAATTGTCATAAAAGTGTGTCTGGTCCACTGATATACTTTTGTTAGGAAAATCTGGTGTCCTTACCTAATCTGGTCTATGTGTGACTCCAGGCCCGCAACAATATGATTACCTCTTAACTGCTATCTGAAATGGGTTAGCAAAACACTCAGTTACATCAAAATGAAACTGGACGCACCAACTGGCATTGACATGGATAGAATATGACAACGACAAATCCAGCCCTGTTGAGCTGAAAGGTATATACCTGAAAGGTACGTTTGGGCCCTTGGAAGTACCCCACGAAGAGACAGGCATAACTAGGGCCCATGTGGGTACTCATGGCATACTGACCTCTACCTTGCAGAGGCTGAGCGCCAGCTCTCAGATACCTCCTCCTACCTTCCCCTGGACCATGACCCCACCATGGCATTGTATCCACTACGGTTACAGATCTCATTTCATCCAGTGATCTCCCCCCATCCGCTTCCAAGCTAATAGTCCCCCAACCGCGCACAGCTCGTTTCTACCTCCTGCTAAAAATCCACAAACAGGACTGTCCAGGTAGATCCATGGTTTCAGCCTGCTCATGCCCCACAGAACTCATCTCTTCCTACCTTGACTCAGTCTTCTCCCCCTGGTCCAATCCCTACCCACATACATCCATGATTCATCTGACGCCTTACGCCGGTTTCAAAGCTTCCGGTTTACCGGCTCCAGCCACCTCTTCTTTATCATGGATGTGCAATCCCTTTACACATCCATTCCCCACCAGGAGGGTCTTAGGGCTCTCTGCTTCTTCCTGGAGCAAAGACCTGAACCATCCCCACCCATCTCCACCCTCCTCCGCTTGGCCGAGCTTGTCTTCACCCACAACTTCTCTTTCAACTCCTCTCATTTTCTGCAGGTAAGAGGGGTTGCCTTAGGTACCCGCATGGGCCCTAGTTATGCCTGTCTCTTCGTGGGGTATGTGGAACATTCCTTGTTCCAGTCCTATTCTGGCCCCCACCCACAACTCTTTCTCCGATACATTGATGATATCATCGGTGCTGCTTCCCTCTCTCGTCTGGAATTGGAAAACTTCATCAGTTTCGCCTCCAATTTCCACCCTGCCCTCACTTTCACTTGGTCTATCTCTGACTCCTCCCTTCCCTTCCTCGACATTTCTGTTTCCATTTCTGGGGATAGACTGGCCACTAATATCCATTACAAACCCACTGACTCCCACAGCTACCTGGACTATACATCCTCACACCCCACTTCCTGTAAAGACTCCATCCCATTCTCTCAGTTCCTCCGTCGCCGTCGCATATATTCAGATGAGGCCAACTTCGACAAGGGAGCGTCCGAAATGTCCACCTTTTTTCTCAACCGAGGATTCCCCAGCCCCGTCGTCGACAGGGCCCTCAACCAGGTCTGACCCATCTCCTGCACTTCAGCCCTTATCCCCTCTCTTCCCTCCCGCAACAGCGATAGGGTTTCCCTTATCCTTACCTACCATCCCACCAGCATCCACATCCAGGAGATCATCAGACGCCATTTCCACCACCTCCAGCAAGATGCCACTACCAGACACATATTCCCCTCCCATCCCTTGTCCGCCTTCCACAGGGACCGTTCCCTCTGGGTCACCCTAATCCACATTTCCATCACCCCAAACAGCTCCCCACAGCCCTACGGCACCTTCCCCTGTAACCGGCGAAGGTGCAACACCTGCACATTTACTTCCTCCCTCTCCAGAATCCAAGGGCCCAAACATACCTTTCAGGTGAAGCAATACTTCACCTGCACTTCCAAGAATCTAGTCTACTGCATTTGCTGCTCATGATGTGGTCTCTTCTACATTGGGGAAACGAAGCATGGACTTGGCGACCGCTTCACAGAACATCTACGTTCTGCTCACAAAAAAGACCCTGAACTATCTGTTGCCTGCCACTTCAATGCACCACCTTGCTCCCTAGCCAACATCTCTTTCTCTGGCTTGCTACAGTGTTCCAGTGAAGCCCAACGCAAGCTGGAGGAACAACAGCTCATTTTCCGCTTGGGGACCCTACAGCCCTCCGGACTCAATATTGAGTTCAATAACTCTCCCATGTCCCAGCCCCCCACCCCACACACCAGGCCTTGTTACCACATAGCTTGCCACTACACACCCCCTGTTGTTAGTCACTAACAGTCCCCATTAACAACTATTCACCCTCCCAGCCTGATCGTTAGCAACTCCTCTGTCTGTCCAACTGTCTTTCTCTTTCTTTGGGCTCTATCCTATCGTTTACTCCCCAACCCACCCACCTCTATTTTCTGCATATAAACTGACGTTTTCCCAGCCACCATCAGTTCTGAGGAAGGGTCACCGGACCTGAAATGTTAACTTTGTTTTCTCCTTCACAGATGCTGCCCGACCAGCTGAGCTTTTCCAGCAACTTTGTTTTTGTTCTAACCAATATCCTGTATGGCTGCAAGATGATCTCCCAACTCCTGTTCTCAATGCATTGCTCAATAAAGGCAACCATACCAAATGCCTTCTTCACTATCCTATCTATCTGCAACTCCACTTTCAAGGAACTACGAACCTGGACTCCACGGTCTCTTTGTTCAGCAACACTCCCCAGGACCTTAACATTAAGTGTATAAGTCTTGTCTGGACTTTCCTTTCTAAAATGCAGTACCTCATATCTAAATTAAACTTCATCTGCTAGTCCTTGGCCCATTGGCCCATCTGATCAAGGCCCCTCATGAGATAGCTTTGGCAAACACTTTCAGGACAAAAAAAAGAACAGCTAGGGAGAGAAAAGGGCCCCTTAACAATTAGAGAGGCAACCTATGTGTGGAAATGCAGGAGATGGGGAGATACTAAACGAGTATTTTGCATCAGTGTTTACTGTGGAGAAGGATATGGAAGCTACAGTACTTGGGAAATAAATACTAACATCCTGAAATGCGTTCATATTACAGAGAGGATGGTGCTGGATACCTTGAAATACATAAAGTTGGGTAAATCACCAGGACCTGATCAGGTGTACCATAGAACTTTATGGGAAGCTAGGGAAGCGATTGCTGGGTCCCGTACAGAGTTATCTGTATCATTGACAGCCACAGGTAAAGTGCCGGAAGACTGGAGGTAAGCTAAAGTGGTGCCACTGTTTAAGAAAAGGTGGTGAGGAAAAGTCAGGGAACTGCAGACCAGTGAGCCTGACATCGGTAGTGGGCAAATTGTTGGAGGGGATTCCAAGGGACAGGATTTACATGTATTTGGAAAGGCAAGGACTGATCAGGGATAGTCAACATGGATTTGTGCATGGGAAATCATGTCTCATGAACTTGATTGAGTTTTTGAAGAAGTAACAAAGAGGATTGATGAAGGCAGAGTGGTGGGCACGATCTATTTGGACTTCAGAGCTATTTTATAAACTAGTGTTTGAAAGTGCAACTGCAGTTTTGAAAAGCAAGTAACCTGACATTCATACCAGGCATCAAGTAAAGAACCATTTAGACAAGTAGTAATTGCAGGGCTGCAGATGATTTGGAGCCAGGCTGTGTACTGATGCAGTTTGTGCTGGCAATAAGAATTGATTGATTTACGGACTAGTGATCGGTTATCAATGGCAGACATTTGTGCTTGGTTCTCAGGTAACTGAATAGCTGAGAACAAGTTGCAGAGAGA